TTGCTATTTCCTGAAGACTCATAGTATAAAAGGCGGGCTGGCCGATGTGACTCAGTTGGCTAAGCGTCATCTCATACACCAAAATGCTGGTTCAGTTCCCAGTCAGGGCACATGCCTGGGTTTCAGGCTCAGTCCCCAGTAAGGGGCGTGTAGGAGGCAGTCAATCCACGTTTCTCTCTCACACTGATGGCTCTCTCTCTCGCTCTCCTTTCTACTATATAAAATCAATAGAAATATATTTTTCAAAAAGGCAGCAAGGTCTCAGGGCTTTTTTGCTCTTCTAATCTGGTAGGATATCTACTCTGTAGAAGGTATTGATCTTCCTGACATCTCCATGGGAACCAAGGGAGCATTTATCTTGCTTATTTACTGGTTCAAGGATAAACTTCAATAGAAGTAACATAAGCTGCATCTGAGTCATTATCTCTCTCCCCAGTCATGGGATGTGGATGAGCCCTGTACTTGACCTCAGCATTCTCACCCCCGTGCCTGCCATGTGCACCTTGACTAGTATATAAAATTTTGCCATGGCACTCAAAAGCTGTTATTGCATTTGTTAGTTCCATGTCAGTCCCATGCCAATAGACTCTAAGCATAGACCTGTAAAGCAAGTCTTTAATGCATAATCAAGAGTTAATACAACTAATGTGAATGTACAAATGATTAAGTCATAGAGGGGCTGGGTGGGTGATTGGACAGATAGACGAACATATCCTGGCTGCCTAGAACATGGGGCAAAGTAGTACATGCTGTCTGTCCTTCAAAGTAAGTTTCACTTTGGTGTCAGAGCAGATGGTTGAAATGGCCTGACTTCTGTCCCTACATTGATCCCTAGATGCCTCTCCCACCACCACCACCACCTCCATCACCGTGGAAAGCCTCTTGTTTATATTCTTTTTAATGTCTCTTTAAGTACTCAAGTTCAACCCCAAGTTCAACCACTGGTCTGGCCCTGATCACTGAGACTCATCAGTTGACTTCCCCATACTTAGTATTACAAGGGCAGTTGTTCTTTGTTCTGGCTCTTGTGGCCACCATGACTATCCATTTCATCTAGTACAACGAACAGGGAAGCTGAAACCCTCTGGAGGCACTAATGCCTCCCAGATGTTCCTGGGCTGTCTCCTTGCTTTTGTCCTATCTGCCTTAGACTGCAGAGAAATTCCAGTGCAGCTCCTTAAAGCTGAAGACCTTCTAGTACAGGTCAACAAACTGTGGCCCATAGGCCAAATCTGGCTTGCTGCCTGAATTTGTAAATAACGTTATTGGAACATAGCCATGCTCATTCATTTACAGATTGTCCACAGCTCTTTTGAATTTCAGCTGGAGAGCTGAGTAATTGTGAAGGAGACCAAATGGCCTAGTATATTCCACAAGATCTAGTATATGTACTAGTATTGTCTACCCCTTTATAGAAAAAGTTAACCAAACCCTCCTTTGTAAATTAGCTCAGAGGTAGAATTTAGCTGAGTAACTCTGTGTGGTAGAGTCCTTGGCATTAGGTTTGGCGATGAGTGGGCACCATGCTTTTACTTCTAACCACTACAAATTCTGACACCACCAAGAGAAAATGGCTTTGTTAGCATGGACTAATTGCTAAAGTCTCAAAAGAAAGGAGGAAAGGAGGAAAAGGAGAAAGAAGGGAAGGAGGAAATTGGAGGAGAATGAAGCAATAGAGCTTTAAAAAAAATTATTGCTGAGAATATTATAGATGTCCTCCTTCCCCTCCTCCTCTAATTACTCCCCTCTAACCATTCCTCCTACACCCCAGGCTTTTGCCACCCTATTATCTGTGTCCATAGGTAATGTATGTATGTGTGTGTATATATATATATATATATATATATATATATATATATATATATATGCATATACACACACACTAGGGGCCCAGTGCATGAATTTGTACACCTGGAAAGGAACTGTGGTCTCTAAGGTTGCAGTGGGCACAGGGTTGGATCTTGGCCCATCCTCTGCACCTCCACCCAGCCCCCCCCTCCCCACTGCAGCTCCTGAGTGCTCTGTCTGTTGGCAGCCCTGCTCCTGCCTCTATTGCTGTCCTACGTTCTGAAGGCATTGGCCCCACTTGCACCCACTGGCAGCACAGAGTGACTGGAGCCAGCACCATCAGCAGATGCAAGTGGTGGCTGCTGCCCCAATTGCCCCTCAGGAGCAGGGGGAGGTGGAGAAGTTCTCAGGAGTGATCAGAGCCAGAAGTCACTGCTTGCACATGCTGACAGCACTAAGCCATCAGGGCTGGCGCTGGGCAGCAGCAGCAGGTGTGAGTAGTGGCTCTAGCACCTGCAGTGGGTGCGAGTGCAAGACAGGACTGCCGCATGAGTAGAGACCATTATAGTGAAAAAATACAGATGAACTGCACTGGGTTCTCTACTAATCTGAGTGATCATGACCTGGTCTCAGTTTCCTCATCTGTAAAATGGTTAGAATATTTATCTCTGTACAGCATTTTAAATGAAGGTGCATGAGGCAAAGAGGAGAGGATGTGCATGCTGTGAGACTTGGCAAAGGTCTTCCTAAAGTGTCTTTCCCTGGATGCCCTGACTCTTCCCTTTCCACGCTCCCAGAAAATTTTCAATTTTATGACATTTGATGTCAGAATGACACCAGTCACTACAGATTGGATGCCAGTATGTGTGGGTTAAAAGTGGCTAAGAGTAAGTTGGTGACATGGCAGGCACTAATCACAGCTGGAGCCCGTCACCAGTTGGAACCTCATTGAACTGAATGCCATTCACACAAAAGGAAATCTGGGAAGCCTGCCAGGGTCTTCCCAGAATAGTAATTTTTCATTTACATTTCTCCCATTTCTCCCCCTTAAGGCAGACCTCCTTCTCTCTCATTATCTTAACTGCCTCGTTCTCCCTCTCCTCCCATCCCTGTTGTAGAAGCAACGGGATCCTTCTTGGGCCTTCCCAGAGATATTATTTGTGAACACCCTCCAGACAACATACTGAGCCCTGTGTACCTTCTTCAGCACCAAAGGAGTCACAAGGGCAGAAACAGAGAGTTTTATTTAAGCTGTCAGGGTATCAGCTGGTCCCTAGGTCTAAGAAAGAATGGAGAAGGTTTCATTCAGTATGGCCCTAATGGTTCCGAGACAGGCTGGTTTGTCCAGACCCAGTGATAGAATAGGCCTTGCAGGAAAGCAAAGGTGGCTTAAGCTTGCTGTGATTGATCAGAATGGAGTGAATACTTAGAACACCAACTACAGGGATTAGAAAATATCTGTGTATAAAATGTTCAATGTTTGAATTTCACCTGAAATTTAATAGCCTAAATTACAGTTTCAGTTAAAAACAACCTAAATTACAATTTCAGTTAAAAACAAAATATAATTAAGACTTTGAGCAAGGATAAATTCTCATACTTGTTAAAGTAACAAACTATGATGTGTAATCCTAGAGATTTGCCAACAATCTTAGAGATGTGTTTCTGGTATTAATTCATTCAGCAAACATACTTCAGGTGTCTATTATGAATCATAACTATATAAAAAATTTTGTATAAAGCTTTAAAGTTGGTGGAGTACTTTACCTTGACTCTTAGAAACATTTTATAAACAAGAAATTACTACAATCCTTATTTTTGCAGTTAAAGGAACAAATTCTCAAGAACAAAAGTCACTTGTTCAAAGTCACAAGTCTTGACAGTGATAGAGCTGTGAACGGAATTCATGTCTTTTGACCCCAAATCCCTGGCTTCATGCCTATATTCTCTTCCCCTCCACGTTAGCTAAATTTTCTAGAATTTCATCATAGTTCTAGATACTCCAGTCTTTCCCAATTCTGATATTTATTGTTTTCTCAAGTCTCATTTACTTACACAAAGATATCAGTTCAGATCTTCAGGAGTCTAGCCCCTAAAGTTGCCTCCAGCATTCAACTCTTAAATCAGGGGTCATCAAATACTTTCTGTGAAAGGCCAGATAGAAAATTCTTTAGGCTTTGTGGGCCATATGGCTTCTGTTAGAACTACTCAGCTCTGCCACTGTATTGGGAAAGCAGCTATAGAAAGCCAGATAAACAACTGTATGGCTCTGTTCCAATAAAACTTTACTTAAAAAAACAACTGGCAACAGACCAGATTTAGTCCTAGGCCATTGTCTGCTGACCCTTACATTTAATGCATTGTTTCCCAATAACCTTTCAACTAGTAAATATCCTCAAAGTTGGGATTTTTATTAACTGTTGAGTGCCCTAGTCATTCATAAAAAATGCTGACATTTGCCCTAGCGAGTATGCCTCAGGTGGTTGGGCATTGTCTAAAGGTTACCGGTTCAATTCCCAGCAGGGGTGTGTGGGAGGCAGCAGATCAATGCTTTACTCTCACTTCAGTGTTTTTCTCTATCTCTCCATCTCCCTTCCTCTCTCTCTCTCTGAAAAAAGAAATTAGTAAAAAATACATTTTTTTAATGCTGAGATTCTCTACCCTTCAGCTCACACACAGAAAGAACATGCTCATTAGAGAGTAACCAAAGTTGCATTACAAGAGTCCAACAATGACAAGATAAGCAACTACCAACACTCAAGCACAGCAAAGTCTCAGCTCATCCAGGGAACCACCTAGAAAAAGGACCTCATGAGTGCATTTTGGGGTTGAGTAAGTCTAGGAAGCCAGGAAGGAAATTATCATTTTTAAATGCCTTTTATGAGCCCCCACTGTGCAAGACAATTTATGTATTTCATAATTCTCAAAACCATGATTTTACACCTTTTGTAGATGGCAGCATTGAGCCTTGGGTTACTGAGCATCTTGGCCAAGTTCAAACAACCAGCATGTGGTGAAGTTAGAATTCAGACTCACTCATGTCTGATGCCAACATGCACATTTTTGAGTTACCATGGGGCCCACTTATGAATGAGCTAGCATCCCTCATTGACAGGGATGTGAGCTCATATGCATGCCTGACCCTGAGCACAAAATAGATACCACAGACAAACTTACTATTAAGATAACATTGATTTTTTTCTGTATTTTTCATTGAATTTATTGGGGTGACAAGGGTTAATAAATGATATAGATTTCAGGAGTACAACTCTATAGTACATCATCTATATATTGTATTGTGTGTTCACCATCCCATCCCAGGTCTAGTTTTCTTCTTTCTCCATTTATCCTCCATACCCTCTTCTATAATAATAACATCATAAATAATATCATTGAAATTGGTGACCATTTTTCATTGTCTACTGGTAACAAAACATAGAGCTGAGTATTGAAACTCTCCAGAATCATTTATTCTGAGCACTTGTCCCTTCTGTTTTTGACCAGCTCAATTAAAAAGGCTTTATTATAATTGATATTATTGGCCTGTGTGATTCACAAGTCAGTAAGACCAATGTTATGAAACTGTGAGTCAGCTGTAGCCTAAGTCAGAAGCCAAAGTAAGTTTCAGGGCAACCAAGATAGTCCCCAGAGCTCATAGACAACATGATGCATTGTTTTATGTCGTAGGGTGAGGATGCAGAGGAGATATTTGTGCTTTGTAACATATCTCTATAGCACAGCAGCTCAATTTTTTTATAGAACCTGGAAAACATGGAGTTCAGAGGGTAGAAGATGAAACAGTTATTTCTGATAATTTTCCAAAGTTGTATTTCTTTCTTTTTTTATAGTGGTGTAGGAACCTTGATTTGAATAAATTTTTAATCTGAAAATTACTTATTATTCCTATATCCATCGAAAGACAGTAAACCGGTTCTTTGGGGGTTTAATCCAAGTTCATGACATTAACAAAAGTACCTCAAGTTTGACATGCTTGGTTTAGAACTTTTGGAAGCGTCAATCATTTAATACCACACTATTCTCAAATTCCATTCTCTGAACAGGTGTTACCTGAGAGAAGGCTAGGGTGATCTATGGAAAGGAGGTGAAAGGAAAACGTATAGAAAGTTATCAGTGACCAACTATTGTAGGAAGCTGTATCAATGATCTATTTACAACAAACTACTTCAATGATTAGCAACTTCGGATCACGGGCACCTATTGCCTCACAGTTTTGGGGGTCAGGAATCTGGTCACTGCTTAGCAGGATGCCATTGGCCCTGGGTGTTCATGAAGTGGCAGTGCGGGGTTAGTGACAGCTACAGTGATCTCAAGGCTCAGTGAGGCTGGAGACTTTCTTTCCGAGCTCCCATGCATGGCTGTTGGCAGTCTCAGAAGGTCCCCTTCCAAGTGTACGCATGTGGTTGTAGGTCTCGGATCTCACTCGGTGGGTTTCACCAGAGGCTTCCAGAGCATATTCCTGACATGGCAGCTGGAGGTCCTAGAGCGAGAGAGAAACAGAGAGTCCCAGATAGAAAGCATGGCCTTTCTGTAAATTGAACTCACAAGTGACACCTCATCACCCTGCCACATCCTATTTGCTAAAATCACAGTGTGCCAAACCAGGAGGTCATGGTTCGATTCCCAGTCGGGGCACATGCCCAGGTGGCAGGCTCGAGCCCCAATGTGGGGTGTGTAGGAGGCAGCCGATCACTGATTCTCATCATTGGTGTTCCTCTCTATTCCTCTCTGAAATCAATATATATATATTTTTAAATCAAAGTTCAGCTTATACTCAGAGGGAGAGGATTACACAAGGGTAGGTATCTCACGAGGTGGGACTCAATGGGACCATTTTGTTTTATTTTAAAATATGTTTTTATTGATTTCAGAGAGTAAGGAAGAGGGAGAAAGAGATAGAAACATCCATGATGAGAGAGAATCATGGATCGGCTGCCTCCTGCCAGTCCCCCACTGGGGATTGAGCCCACAACCTGGGCATGTGCCCTTGACCGGAATTGAACCTGGGACTTTTCAGTTCCCAGGCCGACGCTTAAGCCTCTGGTTTGGCCAGGGCTCATTGGACCATTTTAGAAACTGCTTTGCACGGAAGTGCTTGGTTAAACAAAGTTAGCAGGTTTCTTCAGCACAAAACTTCAGAGCTTTTAGTACACGTATGTGTTTTGGACCTTTCTGAGCAGGGGTCAGGAAACTGTCTTAGAGAGCCAGATAGGTAGTAACTATTTCGGTCTGTGGATCTGAGGGTTTCTTTACCAATTATTCCAATTCTGCTCAAAAGCAGCCACAGACCATACATATAAATTTGGTGTGGCTCTGTTGCAATAAAACTTTATTTACAACAACTATTTTTTTTCCAACCCCTTGGATTATATGCTGAAACGTTAGCTGATAGCATTTAATAATAACTTTTTGTCCTGAAATCTCTATCCCACAGAATAGTGAAATGTTGCCATATATGCCTCTGTGATTTGGTCAATAAAAGCAACAAGTGTCAGTAACCAGAAAAAAAATGCTTTAAGTACACTTGCTAAAATATCATTTTCTTCCTTGTTTAGATTCATAGAACTCAGGATTCCTGGAACTCTAAGGTCATTAATTGTATGAAGGCAGAATCTTCATCTGTCCTATGCATCTTCCAGCACATTTCCCATGCCTAGCACAAGGTCAGAGACACAATGGGTACACAGTCTTTTTGAATGAATGGATGATTGAATAAATCTCAACATCCTATATTTGTATTTCCCTTTGCCTTTTCCATTAGCAATGCTGTACTTCCCCAAAGGGCCACATTCTGATAAATCAAGTGTCCTGACCTGTAGCTGACATCTTTCCCATGGCATCTCCCTTCTTCCTGGCTGCAATCCCACCTGAGTCTGCAACTCAGAATCATTGCACTGATGGCCCCAGATAGACTCGGCGTGTCTCTGCTCACACTTGGCCGTAGCTTCAAGAGCTGAAGACTTGAAGGTAGGCTGGCAGGAAGGAGGGAGAGAGATAAGAACATTTCACAAGCCTACAGAAGGTCATGACTGAGCAAGGCCATTCTACACACAGTATGTCACAGCTTTACAATGGGTCTTACTAACTCCACTTTGCAAATGAGGAAAGAGTTGTAGAGAGGTTCTCTCTCACCCGAAGTGACACAGAGGTGAAGGAGAAGGCTGGTCTAGACTGGTAGACTCTAAAGCTCATTCCCTAAACCTCACATCTCAGGTTGCCTGGGCTATTCTCTTGGAACAGTCATTAAAATCACCTTTTGTTCTCTCAGAAGTGTCTGTTTTAGAAAGTACATTATCTAGTCACCTGCCCACCACCCTTTGCCTCCCCGGGGACAGTTCTGGCTCCTGCCATGGATACAAGTTCAGTCAGAGGCCATGGTTAGGATTTTACCCCAGATCCAGGGGCATTCCTGGAGACCACTAATTAATTACCCAAAGCAGTCTGTGGAGTTCTTGCCAGGCCTCTAGGGTACATACTGTGGGAAGGGGGGGGAGAGCGGGCATGTAGCGTGAATGCCATTAAAAAGACCCATGCACAGATGCATGCAAGCAGAGACAGGCACACACACATGCATTTATTTTTAAGCCACCTTCCACAGTACTTGGCTCCCATTTGTCTCATGGAAAGAATTTTGAATGCAGTCATTTCTCTAGTTGGAATCTTGTATTTAAAAAAAAAAAAAGTCTCTGCATTTCCTAGAGTCCTCATCACTCCTTCTGCTGTGGGCTAATTCTGTCTGCTTGAAAATTCACCTAACAGACAGCCCTCATTTGGATGTGGCTTAGGAAGGCTTCCTGGGCATTAAGTGTACACTTACTTGCTACATCCATCTTAGTACATTGTTGCCAATTCTTTTATGATGTTGAGCTCTTTCTATCCAACATAACAGCTTATCATCTTCCCCTCTCCTCTAGCCAGGATGCCCATGTTCGTATGGTGTTTCAGAGTTTTCTCATAGATCCCATGCATTGTTGTATTGGATCCTTACAATAACCCTGTGATGCTGCCCAATGGAGCCACAGTTTATAAATGAGAAAATAGATTCAGGAAGGTGAAGTAACTCACCTGAAGCCACACAGCAAGTAAGAGCTGACAAAGTTGAAACAACCTGCAGGAAGAGATGACATATGATCCATTTCCATATCCTGCAGAATGCCTTGCTTATAGCATGCACATAAGACATCAGTGTTTAATGGCTGGCTGAATTAACAAACAATAGGATTTACCCTTCCTCAATGATTATGGTCACTTCCTAGGTGGCATAGGATTTGAAATCACGTTCAATGAGAAGTGACAGAAGGATATGTTTAGATTTAGAGTAAAGATGCAGTTGGGGGGCTCTGAGAGCTTCCCCGTGGAAGAGGATTGGATTCGGGCTCTGCGTCGGAGGGGATACATCTGGAATTGTCGCATGTAAGTCATAAAGACGCAGGGCCATTATAAGGACTCACATTCTAGCTAATAGAATTGTCTAGACTTTAGAAGAATCTCATGAGAAAGTGAGGTTCCCCTCTCAGGGGACATACTTTAACAGGAGTTTGACACATCATTGGCTAGAATGTAGTGAAGGCGAGTCGAGCATCGCATGTGGCAGTTAAAGTGGCTGATCATTATTCCAGCCTCCTTTGAGGATGAGTCGAAGGTTATTCTCTGTAAATGCATTTTGATATCTGTATTTCATTAGATTGTTTCCCTAATGTGCCTTCAGGCTATTTGAACTGGAATATTGCTGAGCATTCTGCAATACTGACACAACTGTCCATGAATGCGACATCTTTGTTCTGTCTCCCAGCAACCATTCTTGTTTTGATGTCAAAGCATGTGAGCCTTAACCACGCATATAGTAACAACAGGTGTGAACCATTTAAAGATGGCTGCATCATAGCACCAAATAGAATGACGTTGATGGCACTGGGACAGGCTGCTTGGAGACCACTCATTGCAAAAGGGCTTAACCCCTTCCCCAGGTCTCAGTCAAAGGATGAGGTACTCAGAAAACAGTTCTAAGACACTGTTCCAATCCCAGGACCATGGAGAAGAAGAATTCCAGTTAACCAGTATATCTTTGTTCAGGTTAACCCAGACACCAAAACCATCTCATTGACTGCTGAACACCACTGGCCAGTGAGCAATGGGAGCAATTGGGGTTTATAGGCTTTTTGCTCTCACTGAATGCAAGGGGAAATACTGGTGACTCATGGTTTTTTAATGAAGGGATTTAAAGTGCCAACCACGTGATATCTGACATACAAAAATGCGGCTGGGTAAACCTCAAAGGAATTTAGAGATTACTAAAAACCAAGTCCTTAATTTTACAGATGAAGAAACTGAGGCACAGACAGGGTAATTGGCTAATCTAAAGGGTTTTCATTGAAATTTGAACTCCTGATTCTTACATTCTCCAGCCTCCCAATCCTCTGGTAAAAGTGGAAGGTACAAGTGCGTACCAATGCCACCACAAAATACAACCATATCCACTCTCCCGTCTTCAAAGAAGACAAAGACTGAATTAAGCCCATAGATACCGCCTATAATCACACGTGTACACACAATCACATTGCTATGGCAGTGGAGAGCACCTCGAAAAACAGGTGGCGGGAGGACACTGGCATGTCCCAGGGTTGGGTACAGTTGCAATTATCCATTGCAACTTTGTCACATTGAAGAAAGAAATTCATTTACCCCTGAATGTTTACCTAGGGGCTCCAATCTGGCCTCCTAAGAGCCCCACCTGGATTGTGTGTGACACCCGAAGCTCTCATATTTATATAGTACTTCCTTCCCCCTAAACAACATCTATATCTGGAATCCACTTCTGATCTTGGGAATGGAAGCAAAACAACTGTTATTACATCCATTTCACAGAGTCAGCTCCTTATATGGTTCACCGGACCTCTCAATCCCAGGACCTGAAATCCCGCCAGCCATCAGGATGAATTACAATATGTTGGGCTGCCTTCCTATTGATAAGGCAGCAGACATTTTTGTCACTTAACACATTACAATCAAATTTTCAATTCTTGCATAATTAGAAAATATGCGGATCTGATGGGAAAGATCAAATCATATTCTACATGATACACATGAGAAGTCTGTCTCAGAGAGATTAAAGTGTCATGGCTATTAATTGACAGGCCAGGATTAGACGATCCAAGCCAGCATTCTTTCCACAGGAATCCACTGCCCTGGGGAGTGGACGAAGCATTCCCAGCAACAGGCCCTCGCTGTCTCCTGAGGATTGCCTGTCTCGGGTAATTCTTCCTCATTAGAAGTCCAACACTGCCCCTGTGTCAATGAAAGCTTGGGACCATTAATTAACATTGAATTTCTATGTAAATCTCTGAGAGCCATTTTGCCTGAGGCGACAGAACACGTGCTAATGGCGATTGCTTGGGATGTTGCCTGCTAAAGCTTGTGCCTTCTTTGGTGATCACATAGGGATATTATACCCACTGTATGTTTGAACCTGCGACTGGAACCCAGGACTCATGCTTTCCAATCCAGGACACATTAACTTCAGCAGAAGCTTACTAAGCACTTATCATATACTATGTACTAGGTTAGAATGAAGGGATGAGGCTTCAGATAAGAGGCATGGTCAACATGATCCTGTAATTTAGTGTCAAAATGACTCACTTTAGAGGATGAAAGGGATGATGATAAGAATCACTCAGAACTACAGGCATGTCACAGGGCTATCCACATAAATGGTGGTACATAGTCAACCAGTGCCCCTATCCTCAGTGGGAAGGCAGGCAACAAATAAGGGTTTAAACACTGGATTTCCATGTAAGGTTTTCTTTGAGAAAGCGTTCATTACTAACAATATTTAAAAACAAGGGGGCCATGCTTCCTGTTTTCACTCTACTTTTTTTGGATCTCTTGGGGAAACTTGATCTTGGCTTAGGTCAGTTAGCTCACTCATTGACCAAGGGGTTAATAATAGCTTACTGCCTCAAAGACAAGGAATTGCACCAAATAAATGTTGACTCTCCTTGAAAATCAACAATTTTAAATTCCTGCAGAGCTGAGAAGGGGACCTTCGAGGACCCAGTGTGCGGTAGTTGACTTTCAGTGATCAGAACTTTGTCATCGTGTGAGGCCCCCATAAATAAAACCCACGCCAGCCAGAAAGTCCTTCCAGAAAAATGTGGCTGTCAACATCAAGACACAAGTAAGTGCTGTGATTCTGAGCTTCATTGAAAGAGTCACATTCAATCCACCGCTTCCTTGAAAACTGACTGCAGTACCGTGGCTCCAAGTTCTACAGGAGAAAAACCACAAAGTATGCACGAACCAGAGGAACAGTCTGGGCTGATGACAGAAAAAATAGAAGGCCATTGAGGCGGACGGCAAGTTTGACAAAATGTCTTCTGTGCACCTCCTGGAAACATGGGTAAGAACTAGGTGCTAGAATCCGGACCTTTGATTGGTGGCCTCCAGAGAGGAGAAAGAGTGGCTGGACTCCTTCAGGCCAACAGATGGGGCAGGGGCCTGATTTGGATTCAGAAGTGAAAAAGGAACAGGGCAATTTTGTGATATGGCTTCTGGGGCTGGAAAGAAATGTGCTGCGGAGGGAAAGAGACTTACGACTTTCTTTCACATCTGCCCTGCCTTCAGAACAGAAAAGAGACCATGTATTTGCCTGGAAAACATTAGGAATTCATGGAATTGGGCGGAGTTTTTTTTCTTTTTTTCTTTTCATATTCCAACATTAATCATGAGATTTCAAGCAAGCCTTTCAAACTCTGTGCCTCAGTTTGTCTCATTAGTAACAAAGGGATTTAAAGTGCCAACCATGTGATATCTGACATACATGTGTATATATGAAAAGTGAGTTCTTGGTGCTCAAATTTAATGCTTCTACAATTTTTGACAATCTCTAAAACTTTGAATAGCACTCATTTAATTCTTTCATAAAAAGGCAATAGTACAACTATACTTTTTATAAAAGTATAAATGAAAAATTGAGATTCAGACTTGGAAACACTTGGCAAGTGTTACAACATTTCTCTGAGAAGAGAGAAACAAAGCATGGGCAGAGTCTCAATTATGATACAACCAAGTGAGTGTTTCTCAGATTTGCAGAGATTATGGATGGCTAAAAAGTAGTGTTTCTTTAAGAGACTGTTCTAAGTTATTCATGATTTTATTTTACCTAAGTAAAATCATTTAAAATAAAACAACTATCTAGCTTCATTTCATAAAGCAGCAATCTTTTTAAATGTTTAGAAAAGTTGGGAGAATAATCTTAGAATAAAAGACAGTCTTTCCCAAAGAAATACAGCTGGTAAACTAACACAAATATATGAAAATACAGAAAAATCTCAATATGCATTGGCAGATGATAGTATTAGAGTATACATTTTTTTTTTTTATGCTTGTTTGAAATTGAGTATCTATATTCAACACTCTCACATAAAGTTGAACTAAAATATGCAACCCGATCTGGAACACCATTGTTAGAAATCTATTTTCATGTAATGAGAATGAGAACAACGCCCTGAATGCTGTTCATTTATTTGCAAGGTCATGAGCAAGCTAGACATTTATCTGAGACCCCAGCTCAGAGTCAGATCATGGCATGGGTCTTGCTCATGAACAGCACTGCTTTATATGGACCAGCATTTGAGAACCACTGTGATCTCAGTGAATTAATCTTCGTGGCTCACAACCCCCATGATTCAAACCTGAGCCTTTACTAAATTAGAAATTAAACTCTTAAGAGATATTACTAATTCAATGTTTCACAATGAGGCAATGGAGCCAGAAGAGATTAAGTAAAATATACAAATTCACACTATTGGTGCTGATTTCCATGGCCCCTAACTAACATCATCAATACTAATAGCTAGCATTTCGATCATTTATTATGCACAAAGAGTCTCACAATAACCCTATGAGATGAGCTCCATCATTATAAGAGTAGAAATAGAGGCCAAGTGCTTAAGTCGCTTGCCCAGATGCCAACAACAATTACATGGTGGAACAGAATTCAAACCAAGCTATGTAACCCCAGTCCTGCCTGCTTAGCTTCTAACATGTGCCTCTGCAACTCAGGTGTATAATTTTAATGATAATGGCACTTCCATTTCTAGGGAGACAGTA